TATATATATATATATATATATATATATATATATATATATATATATAATTATATTTTATTTTTTATTATTATTATTTCATTTTTTTTTAGTTTTGTATGTATATACATATTGCAATTGCATATTGCAGACACATTACATATTGTATGCAGATGCCCTATATAATCATCACAGTCAATGTAAAATTTGTTTTTTTTTTTCCAAATAGTCATCTTGTGTAATTATATTCAGATCACAGTGTCAGTTTTTTGTACAATATTGTGCAGCTTTAGGTTTGCATGTTTTGTGTGCAGGAAGCTCTTATCTGCTGTAGCGTGATGTTTGCATGTGTTTTCTGTGTGTTTTGTGTGCAGAAAACTCTCACCTTCTGACCATCCAGCCGGATTTGACCACCAGCACCAGCAGTTATCAGGGCTCGCTGCGCTCTCGGCACGAGGTTTCTAGTAAATTCTCCATGAGTAACGGCCCGCTGCTGGATCCGCTGCCGAACGGATCACACACACTGCACAACGGCAAACTCAGCAGCGATGCAGATGACTTCATGAGCAGACTTTCCTCGCAGACTTACTTGAAGACGCTTCCCAGAGAAAACGGAAACACCTCGTACGGCACTTTCAACTTCCTGGGCGGACGACTGACGCTGCCCAACACGGGTGAGACTCCATTCAGGAGATAAACTGGACAATATATTCAATTCAGTTCATGCTTGTTATATTGCGCTTTTGCAATGAAGATTGTTTTAAAGCAGCTTAACATAGAAGTTCTCATGAATTGAAACTGTGTCAGTCCAGTTTTCAGAGTTGAAGTTCAGTTCAGTTCAGTGTGGTTTAATTTTCACTGCTGAAAGTCCAAACCCTGAAGAGCAAACCCATCAATGCGCAGCTCCACAAGTCCCACACCAAGCAAGCCAGTGGCAACAGTGTAACTTACTTATATAACTTACAATAAACTTATTTTAGTTTTAGATGCATTTTTTGTATTTATTTTTGTATTTATTTGAATTTTTCTTTTTTATTTTC